CTAAAAAGTAGGACCGTATTTTGGAAATTTTTTTTTTATAAAATGTAAAAATATAATTTAAAAATTAAAGGATATAATTTTTTTTTTAATCACATAAAGAATGGGACTTATAATTGTATGCCGGGAAAATTTTGAAGATGTTTTTGATTGCTAAAAATAAAAAACTTGACTATGTTAAATGTAAATTATATTACATTATAAAAGTATATCTGGTAATTCTCACTTTAGACTTCACAAGTGCGTTAAAAATGACAATTCATCTATTCCTAAAATAACTCAGCATATTCAAAAGAAAACTGTAGATATAAATACTTCCAGTGATATGATCTACTATTGCGCCAAGGCATTCTTACTTTTGACTCGGTAACCGGAGATGGCAAATAGCTCAAAATTTTATTCGAATTGATACAATTTATGGTAATATTGACTATAACAAGACTATTCCCCATCCAACTACCTTATCAAGAGTTATGACAAAACAAATTTAGTTAAACTGCTCTGCTACCACTGATATGTGGACAGATTCATTCAATAAACCATTTCAATTTATCACATAGAAAGTGAAACTTTATATAAACATGTTTTATTTACAAGTTTAAAGAGAAAAACTGTTGAGAGCATACATAAGGACATGCTACAAAATTGCCGCAATTGCAATAATACCAGATCAAGTTAACATATATACTAGAATTTTTAGGTCATTCGCTTATAGGTATCGTATGTGATTGTACATGTTGTCTTGGTAGTTCTTGTATGTTATATTTTATCTTTTAACTTACATCGACTCTTGTGTCTTGCTTGTGTTTAGTCTTATTAACGGTTCGATTTTAAAAAACCGTTAACTCAATATTTTATCCAGAAAAACATATAAACCTGAAGATTTTGCTCATAGATAGCCAAAGGACATATATTAGCGAAATCTCATAGGCAATATTTTTCTGGCTAAATTATTAAGCTAACCGTTTTTTAAAATCGGTTCAAATCGAGCCATTTAACACTGCTGGTGTTATATGATGTAATTTGTAGTGTCATTTGTCTAGAGATGGTAATATGTAGTTGTGTTATAGATAGTCATCATGATTTAAAATTAGTTTATATTTTATTTCATTTAGCATATTTTGTTTTATTTTATAAAATCAAATTTATGATTAAAATTCTTAATATACTTTGTAACATTTATTTATTTTACTACTTTGAATTTTCCTGAAAAATTTTAATTTCCCCCTTTTCTGCTGAGAAGCTGATTTTGATTGTTTCATGGCTCTTATATTATCCGAGAATCTGCATTCTTTGTTCAATTGGAATATGTGTGCCACCCAGTTGTAGTACGTCGCATCTCTCTCCTGTACAGCTATAGAATTTGATTATCTTAGCACTCTTCATTTGGTTGGATTGAAAAGCTTAAGTTTCTTAATGAGAATCATAGGGTCAGGAAATTCGGGCAAACATCATCCAGTAGATTGGAAGAAAAGTGGCAGACTTACCAACCCGAGTATGCTTATTGTATTTGAAAAAATTCCCAATCCTATTGAAATTTATAAACAAGTTACTGCTAAATTTAGGGAGTTGAGCTTGACAAATTCGACCATTGTAATAAGATTTTGAATCCAGACTCTGTATCTTATTAACTCAGATTTTAATTACATTCGAAATGTTAATTTAGTTGTTTTAAAAAATATATTTATGCTAATTCTACTAAAATAATTATTAGAAGGAATTTCTTTGGACTCTAAGGTTGTGAATGACAGAATTCTTGGCCTACAGGTTTTTGGACGATTTAATATAGGTTTAAAATAATATTCTAATTTAATTCATTTTATTAATTATATATATTTTTTCTTTATTGACAAATGAATTCTACATGTTAAGATTAAAATTTCAACATAATTTTATTATAAAAGTATATTTTGGACTTTTAAATAAAAATTTGTCCTATTAATATAAAAATATTGTAGACAATTTTACCAAAGAGTAAAACAAACATGTTAGTTAAGTCGATTAAAATAAAAATCATTAATATGAAGTCAAATTTTTAGAACTATAATAAAGTAAGCATTTAAATAATTAATTTAATGTGAGATAAAAAATTATAATTTGATTTAAAAAAGTTTGTGATAAACAGATTCATGAAAAAAAAGGGATATAAAAATATTTATTTAGTTAGTACTAGGGATGTACCGATATTTTTTATCGGATATTTCACCCATTTTAAAATATCGGTTATCGGCCGATCTGATTGATATAAAATGGCGTCTTTAACAAAAATAAAATGTTATAAAATTTAAAAAAAAAGTTATACCTAAAATCGAAATCCATTTTTATGTATATTTTCTTTAATAATAATAATTAATCAATAAACAATCTACCATGCTGTTATTTTTTTGCTCATTCTGTTTATAAAAGTGTACAATGATCTCTTCAGAATCTGTTTTTAGTCAAGCTGATGATATTGACAGTTACTATCGCTGCAGGCTGACCTCTGATAAATTGGAAATTTGGTATTTCTGAAAAGAAATCTAGATATATTAATGTTAAATATTTATTACTTATGTATATAGATTTATGTTATTACTTATTATATAATAAAATGATTTAACAATAAAAATATCTTATATACTTTTAGAATAGCAATTGAATTGAATATAAACTATAACTGATCATTTTAATATATTTAAATGCATAAGTTATGGTATAGTTAAATTATAGATTTTATACTAATAAAAAGTAATTAAAAATTAAAAGCATTGGTATTTTTACAGAATACAAAATTATATATTATATCGGATCGGTAATCGGCCGATATCAATTTAATATCAGATATCAGCCTCTAAAAAGTGGTATCAGTACGGTACACCCCTAGTTATTACAATGAAATTCAGGCTTAGATAAACCATGTTTAAATGAGATGATTAGCTCTTGGAGAAAAAAAATTACACTTAATTAGTGGTAGGAATTTTCCTTAGAGGGGGTCCACAACTAAGCCCAAACATGATATTGATAAGTTAAATTTATTATAGTTTATCATCAAAACTTAAAAAATTATTAAAGTTGACCTAGAAAATACCTATAGCATTTGCCTTAGCATAATAATAATTAAGAAGCATTTTGGCATTATTCATTACTTCTAAAATATTTAGATTTTTGTGATTAATAGTTTCAAAAATATATAATTCATTCAAACAATTAAAATAAATTTTGTTTAGGAAAATAATGTACACAAACATTTAGCAATATAATATTGCTAAATGATTTAAAACTTTTAGAGCATGATAGAAATGCTCAGACTGAAATTCAAGTCGAGGATGGTACATCATGCTCTTATATAGCAAAATTAGCTCGAAAACATTCCCTTCCTATTAACGATTATAACAATATTACTAATCTTAAACAAGAATGCCATATTTTGCTCAGCCAAAATATTATTTCAGAAGAGGATGCATTGCTCTTGGAAGAAAAAGCGACTGGAACTTCCTATGCATGCTAATTTAGCTAGGAAGGTTCTTTGCATATCTGCAACCAGTACACTCAGCAAAAGAATTTTTTCCATTGCTGGATTAATACTCAATGCTAAAAGGAGTTCTTTATGTCCTACAAATCTTGATAAAATACTGTTTATTCATGACAATTATAATTTTGCTAAATCTGAATTCTGACTTATCATATTTCATACTTCATATTTTGCCTGCATTTCAAATTTATTTTAATTATAATAAAAATCAATAGGATATTTCTTATATGTGTTGTTGGTATGACTCTGATTGAGTAAAAATAAAAATACAATTCCTTGTCTATTTCTGAGAATGAGAAAATACATAAATTTAAATTGGAGTGAGACGGGAAATAATTTAAGATCAATTAAACTATGTTAGCAATGTGTTAGAAAAGATCGCCTACATAAATTATAAAAAATGTAATACATTAATTTATAAATTAAATTCATTAAAAAATATATTGATTTATAAATTAAATTCATTAAAAAAATTTTTTAAATAAATATTGTGCCGCCGCCGAAAATTTAGTAGGCGGCGGCGAAATCCGGCGCGCCGCCGAACGCCGATAAAAAAAAAACCGCCGCCGTTGATTGAGACATCGGCGCACAGGTCTAGCAATATTAGATGCATTTTTATCAATCCATCTACTATACCCTCAAGTACTTCAATAAAGCCAGTATTATTAAATACTTTAAATTAATATTTTTCTCAAAATATAAATATCAGAAAACTTTTATTCATATTCAACAAACTTAATATTAAAATATATTGAGGTATTTATGTATAATATAATTTTTTGCTCTGGGAGGGGTCTAAACCCAAAAACACCTTCTATGCCACTGGAATATATCATTTATGATAATGCACAAATTATAATTATAAGCTGACCTAAAAGAAATATAAAATTAAAGAAATTTGTTGAGCATAGAAACAGAAAAGATCTTTTTTATAACACTGGTTCAAATACTGGATATGTAAAAATTATAGTCTAATAATGAATGCATATTCAATTAATAACATTTTTACATGGTTATTTTCTTCCATATTAAATTAGTTTGATCAAAATCAATTTTTGTTTAACAAATCATGATAAGATCCTGGGTTTTCTTAATTAGTCTTAAAAAGTTATAAGCTGGAATATAATATATAAAATTAAGGTGCTAAAAAATAAACTAACAAAAAACCTTTATTTGCAGAGAAGGATTTAATTCATAAAATACAAAAAGGTGAGGCAATAATATTTATTTGACTTTGTGAAAATATCATTATTATTTAATATAAAAATAAGAATTACATATTTGGCAAGCTTACTTTAATTTATCAGAAACATTCAAAATAAAATTTGATATAATTGGCTATACGAGTTAAATATTGTGCGTAACATAAATCATGACAAAAAAACATTCCCAGAGTATTAAAGTAGAAAATTAAATAATTTTAGTTTGACATATGATAAATGTGGTAAAAAATGCAATAAATTTTATGATTGACTAAGAGTTTTTTTTTTTACTATAGACCAGAACAGGATTGTAAGTATGCAATGAGATCTGCTCTTTCTGTGTCTTTTTTAATACCAGCAAAAACCATTTTTGTACCAGGAATATATTTTTTTGGATTTGTTAAGTATTCATCTAATGTTTCTTTACACCATGTTATACCTAAATTTATTATAAAACTAAGGTAATGAAACCATATTTAACCTTTTGTTTTATTCGCATCTGTATATTGAAATCCTGGGATTTGTCCTGTTTTTCTGCCTATTAAATTGCATAAATTCGGCCCAGTCATATTTTGTCCGCCTTTGGTAATAGTGTGGCATTGTGCACATTTTTGCTTGAAAATTTTTGCACCTTTTTCTATATCACCCATTTCTCCTAAATAATATTTTACTATAAAATGTTTACCTTTTATATTACGTATCGTATGAAGTTTATGAATGGAAAATCCTAGAAATTTTTGGAAATGATGCAACTCGATTAATACCACAAGAAAAATAATTTCATATAAATTTATTTCAATTATAAAAATTTATTTCAATTATTAAAATAAAATGTTTCAACAAATCAAAATCTTTATTTTCAAATTTAATTAAAAAGGATTACAATAAAATAAATTGCTGACATTTATCTCCAAACATATATACCATACCCGTAAAAACAATATTTTTTAAAAAAAGTAAAACTCTTTAACTAGTATCGATCACTAGAAAACCTGTCTTGGTATTATTCTGAATAATTATTTAAGGTTCAAATAATCTACTTATATTTAAAATTACTGGAATGATGAATAGATTATTAGCGACAATGTAGAGGTTCTATGTTATCGATAAGGATATCACATTAAACATCATGGGGCAACACCACGCTACTTATTATTTTCACATACCTAACTAATTAACAATATCTTTCAAATATTTGAATAGATTTTTGAAATTTTTAAATAAGCAGGTTTTAAATTGTTAAGATTAAGCAATCTTCTTTGAAATAAAAAAATAAATTGGTATATTTTTTTTCTAGTTTTATGGTGTTTTTGTCAATAAATAATTCTTTTAACTTTAAAACTAGCAGATAGCCAGTAAAGAATGACGGGTGAGTCAGAATTTTCTCCTTTTGATGATGGGTGCGAAAATCCTCCTAGTTTTATTTTGATGAGAAGTAAATCTAATTCCATCATTTTCTTATGATGATAGAGGTTTGGTCACTGATATCTGCTAAACAGGGGTATAGATGAACCTGTAACATACCGTTTACAGATCCATAAAAATATGTTAAAAAATCAATATTTAGGAATTTGCTATATTATGATATTATTTATAAAATTTTGACAGGTAAAATTAGATATACTCCTTGGTAATATTTAATTCCATTTAATATATTCTTATTGCCATTCTCAATATAACAATTAAAGGTTATCAATTGTAATTATCATAGAATTTATTTATGCACATGCATTATATTAATATAAAATTATATAAGGACATCAATGCATTTGTGCGTTTAATTAATTAAATTTAATGAAATTTCTTGTTTATATAATTCCAAAATTCTAGATTTACATTAAATATGGGAAATATTTTAATTTCAAACCAATCAGATAGGAGGTTCCCATAAAAAATATATGTATAAAGTAGATTATTTTATCATATTTGGTTAAGTTGCTTGTAATTCTAGGGAAGAGGCAGTTAAATTTTAAAATTTCGCAGATAGTCAAAAAAATTTTTTAAATAAAAATTATTTTCCACCCCAAAACCCGACATTTTACTTAGGTAAACTGAATTGGTATCTTTAAAAAAACATTAAAAATAGGTTATATGGTCCCCTTATATTGTATATTTTAATCCAATATTTAATTAAAGCTCAAAAATTTACATAAAAATGCTTACTTAAGAAATTCGAATACTTATCGTAGTTAGGTCCAAGAATTTGACTTTAGAAGAAAAAAATTGTTCCAGAGTGCCAGGATGCATAACTTAACCTCCGTGCCAGTTGGAAAAGTATACATTTTTTGGTATATATTATGAAAAATGTTTAATACCGATTCGCTCCAAGCTATCTTTTCGCCTTTTAAAAAACCAAACTAAATCTTAAACTATCTAAAATCCAGTAATAATTATATTCAGTTTATTTCACTTCAAAAGTAAAATTATAATATTGCCCTTAGAATATTCCATGGCACAAGATATCTTATATACTATATTATTCCATTTAAAGTATCATTAACACTAGCCCAATCACATGTTAAGCATTATCGAAGATGTGCATAGGTAATTTCATATCCCAAAAATAACAAATATTTGAATTTCGTCTTGGGGCCTTTATATTTTTTAAAACCTTGATAACCTCGCGGATTATCATGTTATGGCACCTTGATTTGCCGCCATTTATTTATAGCCATTTGTGAATCATCGCAATTTTGAATCATCATCATTTGAGAAATATTTACATTCATGTTTCATCACCATTTGTTACTCACAACATTTGTGATTCCTGTAATGATGGTCTAGTTTAACATGTTTTTAATTTTAAAACTTAATAGACTCTTCGCCCACTTAACATATAAAATAGATGTCTAACCAATATCGGTATTATATATGTAAATGAAACCCAAAATCCAGCCAGAGTCATATCTAGAGATTCTCACAAATAGGGTGCGGGCTAATTTTACATTTTGCCTATAATTAATTCTTCCTTAGATTTAATAATCAATAATTTGAGCGATATTCTAAAAATAGTTCAATTTAAAATATTCACTATAAATTTCAATGATTTATTCTTACTTACAATCCATTTCTACTCAAAAATTTTTTTATCACCTTAACAAACTGATTAAATTTGTTTCTGTACTTTATATTTTCTCAATCCTGTCATTACCACTTACAAATCAAAATAATTTTAAATAAAAATTGAACCCATTCTTGAAAACTATCAAATTGAATCACTTTTCTATTTTCATTTTTAATTTTACTTAAAATGTCTCTACATAATCTAACATAATCATTTATTTGATGATTATTTATCATTTTTCCTAAATTAATGAATAAAAAAAGATCAAGATCCATTAATTCCATCAATCACAATTTATATTTTATTTTTCATTAAAGGTTCCTATTTGGATTGGTACATCGATTCGAGTCAATTTTTAAAAACAGCCCGAATAAGATTTTAGCCAAAATAACATTATGTGTAAACCTCGAGATTTGGCAAATAGATGTCCTAATCTTTCTGCCATCTATGAGCATAATATCTAGGCTAACATAATATTATTTTGGCTAAAATCTTAATCTGTTCGTTTTTTTAAATTGTCTTAGTTCCTATTTTTGTATTTTTTCCCTAGTCTTTCCTAAATTGTATTACATATTATAATATCTTATTCTTTCCATTTAAAAATAATAATATTAAATCATGTTAATCTTCAGATATATAAACTACCATATGTAGTATCTATCTTGAGGATCACTAACTAGGAGCGAGACGATGTGTGTTAATTTCTATATTTTAAAATCAACTTTGAAACATACTCGGCCGCACACATGCTATAATTAGGATAGGATCTATCCATAAATTGCGGCATAATAAGGTAATCCTACTATCATAGTATCATTTATCATATTCATTTTTATTCCTCTCAATTTACTTTCATCTTTTACTTCTCTTCCAGTATCTGTTTATTTTTGCTATACTAATATATACGCGATTTCATATTATATTTGTAAAATGTATCATTTATTGTATCCTTGTAATTAAATGATTATATCAAGGCTTCTTTAGATTAAATATAATATCCAAAAATGCATCTACCTTTACCTCGAGGCCCCGACCGATTAGAAAAAAATTATATACCTTTCCTTTTCTTATTAGGTTACATACATATCATAGATACATGCTAATTAAATACTAAATTAAGCCTTAACCCATATATAATTTAAGTAAAATAATAACTAATTTGATGTTCAAATTGGATAGGATAAACCTATTTTGTTAAATTAATAAATAAGATTTTCTTTTAACTTAACAATTTTTATTCGTTTAAAATTTTTATTCATAATTATTTAGGTACATATTTAAAACTATAATATCAAATTTTTCCAACTCTTTTTTAACCCCGCAAAATTAAAACTATATAAACAAGCTTATCTCAGCAGTGTTATTTATTTTTAAAATAGTTCGATAACATTAAAAACAATAACTTAAAAACATTTATAAATTATTTTAGCAAAAAAATTAAATATATTTTATTTTTATGATATGAATCAATTTTTTACGTTTCTATTAGCTCTCCTTTTTATTTTTGAGAGTATTAAAAGTAACTATTAATTAATAAATATTTTGACATTTATTCAATCATTTTATATTTTATCAGTCCTGGAAACCACAATTTCAAGTAAGTGGCTTTTTTTAAAATTTCCTTTTATATATTATGTATTATATAATTTAAGAATTATTTATAATTTATAACAACTCATGCTTATTAACTCAAATTTCTAATAAAATATGTTTGACAATATCAATAGTCCATAATTTTAATTCAAAAAATATCGATTTATATAAAATATTTTCGCGGAATTTTATCGATAGATCTCCGCTAATTCGCATTATTTTCTTTGAATCATAAAATACTTATTTAGATCGAAATGTGATGATTTGCAGGAAATATAATGACTCTAGTAAAACACCTTTAATTTATATTTGCATGATGTAAAATATATAATAATTTAAATAAAATATTATAGCTAATATAACCTGTGAAGAAGAAAGTATTTATTTAAATTAAACATAGAAATTATTTATTATTCATTTTAAGACGGAAATATACTTAGTACCATCCGACGAGGTATGCCAATTAATTAATTACCAATTTGTGTTATATAATCATCACATATTATTTAAAATTCATTATAAACTATTTAAAATTTTGATTTATAATCAATTTAGAAATTATATTGCATAGAGCTATTCAAATTTATATACAGTGAAAGAGGGGATATTTTTTACCAGATGTTAAAACAAAATAAAATGATACTATTATATTTTTATTTTAATCATACTTAAACATTAATCTATGTTAAAAAAATATTAAACAACTTTTTTAAATGTCACACTTACATAAAAAAAAATTTTTATAAAAAAATATAAAAAGTTTTGTCATCACATATTTTCTTTTACTTAGTTAACGATATTTTATGTAGAATAATTTTAAATATAATGATAAATTATTCATTTAAGTTGTAAGATCTTAGTCAGAATCTTTTATTTCTTAAAATAGTTTTTTTCTCTCACTTTATTTTATCATATTTGAGACATAACTTTAATTTAATATTTTATTCAATTCGTATATGTAATACATATAATTATATATAATAAGAAATATATTCGTAATTACACTAATACATGAATATTAATTAATAAAATATGAAATATTTAATGATAGTTCATAGTCATAAATTGCTTGCTTAAGTAGTACCTATAAATATTAAAAAATGTTAATCGTAATTTATTATATAATTAGATTACTTTAGTCAAGAGGTAGTCCACGATAGCCCAGCTCCAAATAATGTTGCATATGATTATAGAAATTTGTAAAATCATATGGAATAAATTGATTCATTATTTGATTAATATTATTTATTATATGTTCCCTTGTACTTGGTCTGGGAATTAATGACCTGTACTTGTTTTTGAAAACCCCGAAAAAATTTTCAATTGGGTTTAATTGTGGTGAGTATGGGGGAAGATATTCAATTCTCTCTTTATAGTCATCAATTAGATGACTTTTATGTATTGACGCATTGTCCATAACTAATATGGCATCTGGTGGTAATATACTAATAATATCCATTAATGAATTTCGGAATAACATACCATTATATGATCCTTCGATGATTTTATAATGTATAACTCCACAAATTCCTATAGTGCAAAGTACACTTACATTTTTCCCTTTTGAGGGTGGCACCTTTATTGATGGTCTAACGTTGAGTGGTGCCCAAGCATAGACAGGTACAACATGAAAATTGATGCCTGTTTCGTCGAGAAAATAGAGTCTTTCTCTGGAGATGTTCAGCAATTTGCGGCAATACACCTGTCGAATATTGATAGCTCCTGGTGTATTCCTGCGATCTGGTTCATTCCCAGCTCTTTTTTTGGACCATCGGATGTTTTTAATATATTTCCTTA